TTGAGACGGAGTCTCGCTCTGTCACCAGGCTGGAGTGCAGTGGTGCAGTCTCGGCTCACTGCAACCTTCGCCTCCAGGTTCAAGTGATTCTCCTGCCTCAGCCTCCCAAGTAGCTGGGACTACAGGCATGTGCCACCGCACCCACCCAGCTAATTTTTGTATTTTTAGCAGAGATGGGGTTTCACCATGTTGACCAGGATGGTCTCAATCTCTTGACCTCGTGATCCACCCGCCTCGGCCTCCTAAAGTGCTGGGATTATACAGGCGTGAGCCACCGCGCCCGGCCGATTCTTAGTTATTTTAAAAAGGGGACTGTGCCTTCAGTTTTCGCTGGGCCCTACAGAATGTCTGCCTGGGCTCTGGGCCCTTCCTGAACCTGTGCTGGCTTCCATCTGACCTCTCTGTGCTGACCAACGCTGCTGCTCTTCCTGAGGGCGAGGCGCCCCATGACTGCATGTTGACCCGCTGGATGGGGCTGCTGAGCCTGCTCTGCCACACTGCACCTGCCCCAGGCAGGGAGGGAATCCCTGGGTCCTCACAGGAACAGCCAGCAAGCCACGCCTGACGCCTGCTCTGGCCCCACCCCTGCAGTGCTGGAGACCACAGGCAAGGCCTGGCCATTGCCTCTGCTGGGTCCCCAATCTGTGGAAGGAAACAGTAATCTAGGCATTTTCGGTGGGGAAGCTGAGCTGTCCTCCTGGTGTCCTGAGGGCCAGCCGTCTTCAGAGGGAAGGGAGAAATGCACATCGCATCAGTGGAGAAGGGCTTGACTCCCCTCAGCATGATGGAGGGAGGTCAGAGAACAGTCTAGCTTGTTGCTGGGTGACAGTGTACTTAATAATGAAAATACAGGCTGGGCGCGGTGGCTCATGCCTATAATTCCAGCACTTTGGGAGGCCCAGGCAGGTGGATCACTTGAGGTCAGGAGTTTGAGACCAGCCTGGCCAACGTGGCAAAACCCCGTCTACTAAAATACAAAAACTAGCTGGGCATGATGGTAGGCACCTGTAGTCCCAGCTACTTGGGAGGCTGAGGCAGGAGAACCGCTTGAACCTGGGAGGCAGAGGCTGCAGTGAGCTGAGATTGTGCCACTGCACTCCAGCCTGGACAACAGGGCAGGACTCTGTCTCAAAAAAAAAAAAAAAGAAAAATATGAAATACAAATATCACCTTCACTAAAACAAGGGATAGAAGACCACAAAACAAACAGAAAACAACAAAACAGCAGGAGTAAGTCCCTACTTATCAATACTAACATTGACTATAAGTAAGCTAAGCTCTCCAATCAAAAGAGTGGGCTTGGAGCGGTGGCTTATGCCTGTAATCCCAATACTTTGGGAGGCTGAGGCAGATGGATCATTTGAGGTCAGGAATTTAAGACCAGCCTGGCCAACATGGTGAAACACTATCTCTACTAAAAATACCAAAACTGGCCAGGTGGTAGTGGCACGCATCTGTAATCCCAGCTATTTATGAGGCTGAGGCAGGAGAATCACTCGAGGCTGAGAAGCAGAGGTTGCTGGGAGCCGAGATTGCGCCACTGCACTCCCACCTGGGCAACAGAGTGAGATCCTGTTTCCAGAACAAAAAGTTGTGCTCGCTTTGGCAGCACATATACTAAACTTGGAACGATACAGAGAAGATTAGCATGGCCCCTGCGCAAGAATGACACGCAAATTCGTGAAGCATTCCATATTTTTATGCTCATCACCACTGGCCATCAGAGAAATGCAAATCAAAGCCACAATGAGATACCATCTCACACCAGTTAGAATGGCGATCATTAAAAAGTCAGGAAACAACAGGTGCTGGAGAGGATGTGGAGAAATAGGAACACTTT